AGTACCTTGTGTATTTTGAAGTTTGGCTTATTTATTTATTATTGCAGTGTATGTAATTATCCCAGGCAAGAATTTCAACATGTTTTGATGTACTGAGCAAAAAAACACCCTCTTTATACCAGACTCATTTTGCTCCAAAATCTCCCATTTATGTTCAATTGGGTTGAGGTCTGGTAACCGTGAAGGCTGTAGTCGATCTTTTTTTTTTTTTTTTTTTAAATCATTTCATCCTCATCAAACCATTCAGTGAGACCCTGGTGCCCTGTAGATGGGGGTGGGGTCAACCTGGAAGATACCACTCCTATAGGAATAGCACAGTTTCCTCAGAGGTTCAATCAGTCGGAATGACTTTGTATTGACTTTATTATTAACCGTGACACCTTTCGAGTGTAACAGCCACTAGTTTTTCCTTTCATTTGTCACCCCTCTGTATGTTTTGCACTGTTACACTTTCAAACCATTGACAAACTAATCGTATCTAACAGACAAAATCGTACAGTTTACGAGCACCTTTGAGGAATTCACAATTTTTTTTTTGATAACTGTTCATTGATGCCCCTTCAGCTGCGCTTCTACTTGAAGTAAGTTTGCAGTAAATATATGTACTGTTCTTCGCATTACAGGGTAATGATCTCAGGGTTAATCATATATGCACTACAAAGGTGGTAAACAGATCAAATCTCATTGTTAGCTTGTACAGACGAGAGTGCTTTTTAAACGGTCATAGATTTGACACTGGAAACAACTACACACAAAATTGGCCTGAATTAAAACTGCAGGTGAAGGATGTGAGAACTTGTCACTCCACCTGCTCCATAGGTGAGCGGTTTGTTTGAAAGAGAGGCTCATTGAGATGTCATTAAGAACGTAATGCAGAAAACCAAATGTTTCATTTTCAGATTGTAAAGTCCATTTTTTTTGGGCGTTCTTGTCTGGAACAGCCTGGAGCTGTGACTTTTGTGTCACTGCTTACTGACTTATCTCGAACTGTCAGGGCTCATGTGGGAGCAGTTAAAGCACTCTGGTTAAAGGCCTTTGGTTTCATTTCTCAATAAAAGTGCCATAGTTCAGTGTCAAGTGAATGTTAGAGGAACACAGCTTGATGAATGTTCTCCAGCTGAACTACTTCAGATGTTGTAATGAGTGAATAGTTTTTGTTCTATTTTCAAACAGGCAGAGACTAAATATGTGAATTAGGACGGGGGTCCTGTGGAACAAACCAACACAAAAAAAAGCTTCAGGAGTGGCTAGTTTTTTTTATTTTTACACTAGCGGACAGCTTTGAGGCTCTTGGGATAAAGAAAGACGTTTGTTAACATGAACGTGTACTGGGTGCTTTAGCGAGGCATTTCTGGATTCATTCATTCGTTAACTGCTTTTTCCTGGTCATCGTCACAATGGTTTAAATACTAGTTTGTTTCTAATTTGCGAATTAGAACCACCAGAAATGTTAACTGCAGGGTTGGTCAGAATTTGTTCGGGAGCAGGAATAAAACCCGTCCTATTGTTCCAAGATTGCAAGTTTGAATCCTAGTGATGCTACGAGTCAAGAGAGCACAATTGGCCATACTCTCACCTGTCAATCATAACTGTAACCATTTGTGGCGGAGCTAATGTACTGCATAGAGAGGGTAGATTCGTTCCAAGGGTGTTACGCTGAACTGTGATACAGTTCGAAAAAATGTGTGGCCCAGAGGAAGCATGCGTTAGACTGTAATCTTCCCGGTTGGTGGTGGTTGTGCGCTAGGGGAGTGTTGGGTAGAGAGAAAACAGTGCATCCTTTCAGCTACGCAACAGAAATATGATCTTTTCGTACTTTCATCCCTGAAGTCATTTAAACATTGGATTATACTTAAATATTACAATTCTTAAAACACACACACATTCAAACAAAATGCAACACTGTTGTTCACAAACCTTTTTTAATCTCAACTGCAAAGTTAGCTTATGTGTGGTCACAACGATGAGCCTAAATGTAGAACTGGATTTCTCGAGAATGGTATTTGGCAGCTGGAAATGTGATTATGATACTGTAACATTCATGATTCTTTTATAACTATTCATAACAAATATTGCTCGTTAATTCTTTAACTGTGTATACTGATTGACAAATAAAAGCACGGTCTAGTAACTAAACAAAAAGCGCCAAACTTCACTATGGTGGCCTTGTACAGGGAAAGTTCAGGGAGGACTTTGGTTTTGTACCTTATTTAAAAAAAACGGTTCTACTTAAATCCTGTTAGTTATTCCAGACCAGCAAGAGAATCAAACCGGGGAAAAAAAGTTATTTGGATCTTAATTTAGGAAGAATAAAGAAAAGGCACACTGAACACTTAACACGCTAAAAATGATTCCTTATGTTGTGAAAGCTCTTCAACAATGCCTTGCCCCTAATTTATACAAAGCATACAACAAGCGTTGAGGAGATCGTCAGACACCGGCGGTGTCATTTGGAGCGGCTTGTTTATATAACTGTTGAGAGCAGGATTTGATGTCTCTTGGTTTTAGTTAACAGGACTAGCAGAGCAGGTTGGACTGCTACATCCACATTCGCTACATATCCTTTTGCTTCCTTGGGAAAAACCAAAACAAAGTGCTCCAGGATCATGTTGGCCAGAAGCTGGCCTCTGCTGCAAAGCCTCAACGTTTACCAACGTTCTTTCTCCTATTTACCAAAATTCTCTAATCACATACCCTATTCAAGTAGATTTGCTGAGTGCTGAAAAAATAAAAATGAACGTGATCAGTTGGCCATAATCCAGTGTTAAGTGACTAAAAATTTCCAATGAAACCTTTTTCTATCAACACATTCCTTCAGATATCCATGTAGTGTCCATCATAAATGGAGGAGTTTAATGGGAAATGCCATGCTCATGTGGTGAACACACCCAGACGGTAATGTTATCCACGACACGGCTCCTCCCTATTAATCAACAGCGTAAGAAGGATATTGTGATTTCATCCCACATTGCTTTGCTGGAATAAAACGGTGAATTTTAATTCTGCAATGCTTCTACCAGCAAGAAACAATACTGCAAGAGAGATAATGTGTATGTATGGATTGTGGGAGTGGGATGAAACCGAGGTGGGCTGACACGTGATGATCGTTCCCACCATCCAATGTTTGAACTGCACCTTGTCCCAAAGTATGGCTTTGTTCAATCCAGCATGATTCTATTGCTTCTGTATTGCTGTAGAAGTTCTAACACTGCACTTAACAAGCGTGCAAATTGAACAAGTTTCATCCTCAGACAGCCCACAAACTAAAGGTGACGAGAGCGAAACATTTGCTCCATGTCAATACCAATCATGAGTTTGGGCTCTCGGCAGGCTCCACTGGGCGTATCTCAGATGTGTATGCTACACAAAACATCCAGCTTGAACTAGCATGGCTGTTTGTCAGTCCAGGATAAGAAGAGAGCGTTCGCATTTCCAACCATGCTCCTCCAATAACTTTTTCCTGGGAAAACGCAGGCATTAGCGAGCGCTCGAGGAGTTCGGGAGGAATCAGGTTAAAAAAACAAAAGAACATGACCGAAAAGTTATTCTTTTACGCAAACTGTCAATTGTTGTACCTGTATCGTTTTCCTCCATTCTCCCATCTCCAAAATCAGATCTCGAGGTAATACTGTGTACCTCTCACAATCGATCAGGCTTATTTGACCAGCACGAAGCCGTGCTGTGAGTCCACTGTCTCCATCATCTCACTGTCTGCAAAGGCATCTGCCATTTTGAGGCCTTCATACCCTGGTGTTGGAGTTGGCACCCCTGTTGCTGCGCACAGAGGAGGAGGCTGGCCAGGCTCCAATGGGGGATCATAATGCTCCTGGTACAGAACCTCGCCCAGCTGGCAATGCCCCGGCTCATGTGGTTGGTAGGTGTAGGGCTGCTGACTCTGGAGCTGGGTTGGATTGCCAGGGGAAAGAGCGGAGTGCTGCAGCTGTGGGTAATGACCCAGGTAGGGGTCATAGGTGAGGGTGTCACTGCCAGGCTCCATCATAGGACTGAAAGGCTGTGTACTCTGCTGCTGGTGTGATATCGAGCTTTGGGCCTGAGAGTCCTGGTGGCTTATTGGCGGGCAAGAGGCATATGTTCCATCCACTATGTGCATCTGGTTAAAATAGACCTGCATTTGGGACTGCTTCTGAATATACAACCTCTTCTGCTGCAACCTGGGAACATACAGACTTTATATTATACACTGACTGACCACTTTATTAGCGACAACTTTACACCTGCTCATTCATGCAATTAGAGGTCAAATACAGGTCTGAAGAGAATGGCCCGACTGGTTCAAGAGGACAGGAAGTCTGTGGTAACTCAAATAATAATAATAATCACTATTTACAATCATGAATAGAAAAGCATTTCAGAATGCACTGCCAACCCTTGAGGCAGATGAGAAGACCACATAATTTTCCGTCAGCCAAGAACAGGAATCTGAAAATACAGTGGGCACAGGTTCACCAAACCTGGAGAACTTGGTGATGTTGGTCTTCAACTGTCTGGGTTTGTTGAGCTTTATCTGCATGATTTTATGCGTTTGGCTGCTGCCACACGATTGGTTGATTTGGAGAATTGCATGAATGAGCAGGTGTAAATGTGTTCCTAATTAAGAGGTTGTGAGTGAACATAAGACATCTAAGACTTACACCGATCAGCCATAACATTGACAGTTATCAAAACAACTGACAGGTGACGTGAATCCACCCATTTTCTGTACTGCTTACCCTACATAGGGTCGTAGGGAGCCTAACCCAGTGAACTTGGGGCACAAGGCAGGGGACACCCTGGATGGGGTCTGAACCCATTGCAGGGCACAATCCTGCACACACAGACTCATTCACACACTATGAACAATTTAGAATTGCCAATCAGCCTACAAAGCATGTCCTTGGACTGGGGAGGAAACGGAGAAAGCATGTCTTAGGACTGGGAGGAAATGGAGTACCCAGAGGAAACCCTTGAAGTACAGAGAACAGGCAAACTGCGTGCACACAGGGCAGAGGAGGGAGTTGAACCCTCAACCCTGGAGGTGCGAGGCAAACGTGCTAACCCCCAAACCACCCTGCCCACTGATGATCTTGTTACAATGGCGCCCGTCAAGGGGTGGGATATACAGTGCCTTGCGAAAGTATTCGGCCCCCTTGAACTTTTCAACCTTTTGCCACATTTCAGGCTTCAAACAAAGATATAAAAAATTTTTTGTGAAGAATCACCAACAAGTGGGACACAATTGTGAAGTGGAACGAAATCTATTGGATATTTTAAACTTTTTTAGCAAATAAAAAACTGAAAAGTGGTGCGTGCAAAATTATTCGGCCCCTTTACTTTCAGTGCAGCAAACTCACTCCAGAAGTTCAGCGAGGATCTCTGAATGATCCAATGTTGTCCTAAATGACTGATGGTGATAAATAGAATCCATCTGTGTGTAATCAAGTCTCTGTATAAATGCACCTGCTCTGTGATAGTCTCAGGGTTCTGTTGAAAGCGCAGAGAGCATCATGAAGACCAAGGAACACACCAGGCAGGTCCGTAATACTGTTGTGGAGAAGTTTAAAGCCGGATTTGGATACAAAAAGATTTCCCTAGCTTTAAACATCCCAAGGAGCACTGTGCAAGCGATCATTTTGAAATGGAAGGAGTATCAGACCACTGCAAATCTACCAAGACCTGGCCGTCCCTCTAAACTTTCAGCTCAGACAAGGAGAAGACTGATCAGAGATGCAGCCAAGAGGCCCATGATCACTCTGGATGAACTGCAGAGAACTACAGCTGAGGTGGGAGAGTCTGTCCATAGGACAACAATCAGTCGTACACTGCACAAATCTGGCCTTTATGGAAGAGTGGCAAGAAGAAAGCCATTTCTCAAAGATATCCATAAAAAGTCTCGTCTAAAGTTTGCCACAAGCCACCTGGGAGACACACCAAACATGTGGAAGAAGGTGCTCTGGTCAGATGAAACCAAAATCGAACTTTTTGCCCACAATGCAAAACGATATGTTTGGCGTAAAAGCAACACCCTCAACACACCATCCCCACTGTCAAACATGGTGGTGGCAGCATCATGGTTTGGGCCTGCTTTTCTTCAGCAGGGACAGGGAAGATGGTTAAAATTGAGGGGAAGATGGATGCAGCCAAATACAGGACCATTCTGGATGAAAACCTGTTGGAGTCTGCAAAAGACCTGAAACTGGGACGGAGATTTATCTTCCAACAAGACAATGATCCCAAACATACAGCAAAATCTACAAAGGAATGGTTCACAAATAAACGTATCCAGGTGTTAGAATGGCCAAGTCAAAGTCCAGACCTGAATCCAATCGAGAATCTGTGGAAAGAGCTGAAAACTGCTGTTCACAAACGCTCTCCATCCAACCTCACTGAGCTCGAGCTGTTTTACAAGGAAGACTGGGCAAGAATTTCAGTCTCTCGATGTGCAAAACTGATAGAGACATACCCCAAGCGACTTGCAGCTGTAATCGCAGCAAAAGGTGGCTCTACAAAGTATTAACGCAAAGGGGCCGAATAATTTTGCACGCCCTACTTTTCATTTTTTTATTGAAAAGTTCAAGGGGACCGAATATTTTCGCAAGGCACTGTATTAGGCAGCAAGTAACCAGCGAGTTCTCAACATTGTGTTCAAAGTAAGAAAAATGGGCAAGTGTAAGGATCTGAGGGACTTGGTGACAAGGGCCAAACTGTGATGGCTGGGCCAGAGCATCTCCAAAACGGCAGGTCTTGTGGGGGGTTCCTGGTATGCAGTGGTTAGTATCTACCAAAAGTGGTCCAAGGAAGGACTTGTGTCTTGGGCACCCAAGGCTCATTGCACATGGGGAGCAAAGACTAGCCCACCTGGTCCGATCCCACAGAAGAGCTAATGTAGCACAAGATTATTGCTGGCTATGATCGAAAGGTGTTGAGGCAGTTTGATGCGCTGGGTAATGTTCTGCTAGGAAACTGTAGGTTCTGGCATTGATATGGATGTTACTTTTACACGTACCAGCTACTGAAACTTTGCCATGAAAGGGTGTACTTGGTCTGCAGCAACGGTATTGGACATGGAACATGACGCAGAGTTCAAGGTGAACTTGGCCTCCAAATTCCCCAGATCTCAATCCAATCGAGCATCTGTAGAAGGTTCTGGACAAACACCTTGTTCGATCCATGGAAGCCATACCTCGCAACTTGCAGGATCTGCTGCTAACATCTTGGTGCCAAATACTAAGGCACAAATTTCAGAGGTCTTGTGGAGTACGTGTCCTGATGAGTCAGAGCTGTTTTAGTGGCACAAGGGGGACCTACACAATATTAGGCTGGTGGTTTTAATGTTATGGCTGATTGGTGTATAAAAGTGTGACAGAAGCAGCAAAGTGAAGTGTGTGTACCTGTGCTCAGCCAGCTGCTGTTCTAGGCTGCGAGGGGTCTCTTTACAGAACATATGGCAGCTCCCGGGACTTGCCATCAGGTTTGGTTTCTGTTGAGGGGTGAGAAGATAAATGAATGAATAAATGGATGCAAAGTTTGTCATCTGACATCCTTAAAAGGAATAATTGTGTTTTTTTTTATGTAATATACGAGTGATAAGCACAAACTATAATTTAGATGGGTCTTGAGAAAAGAACAGAAAATTTGCTTGCTCAAAACACAAAGCAGTTGTTGGGGGTTTTAATAATGGTTTACACAAAACACTTTTTTTTTTGTAGATTGCTTTCATGAATTGTTAATTAAAAGGTATTTATAAATGCATAACACAGCAGGTAGCTGCTCTCTATGAACAATCCTGAGCTTGGATTATAGTCTGTGGGAAGTGTTTTGCACAATCTCCCTGTTGTCCCTGTGGGTTTCCTCCAGGCTTATCCGGTTTCGTCCCACCTTATCGAAACTGTAACGTAGGTGGCTTGGCTACGGTAAATTGCCTGTAGGTGCAACTGAATGTGTGAAGACAGCAATAGATTGCCCTGATTTATCCACTGTGACCCTGGTCAGGATAAAACATTTACGGCAGACGAAGGAATAAATGAATGAATGTATTGCCACATAAAACTGGTTAAACCCTATATGAGAGCAGCTTTGGTAAGAATCTGCACTATACAGTCATGCAGTTTAGTTCAAGAAATGCCCTTAAGCTTTTATTACATGCAAGTTTCAGATAAACAGGTTTTATAAGTAACAATTCTCATTAGTGGTAATCATCTGTATGCTACTTGTCTGTATGTGGAAGGAAAATACATCGAAAGAAATGTTGACTTTTCCTTTAAGACCGCTCGTTAATACAGCAGATGAGTAATAAACAGACAGTACAGTGGGGAAATAGTGCTGCATTACCGGCATTCTGTGTGAGGGGTACTGTGGCTCCAGACTCTGTCTCCTGGACAGTGAAGGTCCACCTGAGTACAAAGCCATGTCATGCTGGTGGCATCCACCTCCCTGCGTTCATACACACGCACATTCAATTCAGTTCAATTTGATTCGCATAGTACTTTTAACCACAGACAAATTCACACAGCAGTTTCATAGGAATCTTGTAAATTTAGACTTAAATCTTGAGAGGAACCAGACTGAGGAGGCAGGAATCTTGAGAGGAACCAGACTCAAAAGGGGAATCATCCTTTTCTAGGTGGCACTGATTAGTGTGATCATAAATCTGTACTCTATAACTGTATACTATAAAGTCAAATGCTCAGTGTGAACCTGATAGTTTTTATAGGTGTTTTCACATGTAGTTCGTTTTAAAAGAACCGACCCCAAAAGAACCAGAAAGGGAAGCAACCTCTGTCCTTTTGGTGTTCACAACATAGCGGACTCAAAAGAGAACCCGGTTCCTTTTCGTTGCTTTCACACATCACGAAGAAATTGAACCACAAACGGACCGACAAACGAACCGTGGCTCAGCGTGTATAATAAGGCTGCAACTAACGATTATTTTCATAATCGGTTAGTTGGCAGATTAATTTTTCGATTAATCGGCTGGGGGCGGGCAACTCAGTTTGTGCTCCGAAGCGTATTTTTGGAACGTAATGAGTAAATCTCCCCTGGGCCACGCACAGATCAACTAATCGATAATGAGATTATTTGACAACGATTTTCATAGTTGATTATTATCGATTAGTTGTTGCAGCTCTAGTTTACATGTGAACAGACCAAGTGATCTCGGACCCCCCTAAAAGGACCCAAAAGCGAACCGGACGGTTCCTTCTAGGGGGTCTGAGATCACTTGGTTTGTCCACATATATACGCTGAACCGCTGCGAAAGCATTTGGAGGGCTCGATTGAGCTAGGTGTGAAAACACCCTATGATTTACAGCAGCAGTTCTTCAGTACGAGTACAGTATCCAGTATCCGGGTGAGATTATCTACTTGAAGAAAGATGTGGATGTCGGTTTCGCCAATAGAGACAGGGCATTGAAAGGACTTCATCAGACATGCATCAGTGTGGCGAACCAATGATCATTTGTGAAATCTTGTAGCGTCTCATACAACTCGGCACCAAGAAATAATCCCCCCCCCCCCCGTCTGATTCATAAACGTGCGCTTGTTATTTTCAGTTTCTGCGAAATCTCAAACCATCAACCCCGGTGTTGAGTGAATAGCGTTTGGAGCAATGGGCACTAGCCACCAGTTTGAAACCTATTACGCCAACAATGACTGCATTCACCCTGCTATTGGGACAGACAGTAAACAACCAGCAGTTGGCTGCTTCTACTTCAGCTATTACATAAGTGTGTGTGTGTGTGTGTGTGTGTGTGTGTGTGTGGAGAGAGAGGTGGAAGAGGGTGAGAACGACCGGGGCAGGGCCAGCTGCTTATTATCCTTAAACACTGACCTTCAGGACTGGGTCTTCTGTCTGAGTCTTAACCGTTAACCCTTTCATGCTAGTGTAAAAGAGTCAGGGCTGACCTGCAGTAAGGGATCCAGAGGGTTGTGTGGTTGTGTCTGGGGGTTCAACAGTCCAAGCGAGGGATTCTCCCCAGAGCCCATCTGCTCATAAACCTTGTTGAGCTCCAGGATACCTTTTGCGCGAGCCAGGTTTTGTAAATGCTGCCGAAATGCCACGATACCTAAAGAGACAG